AAACAAAAAACAACCTGGGTAATTCTTTCCGAACGAACAGCAGGGGGCTTAATCCATGCACCACCAAGTAGCTGTGAAGCGCATGTATTTGGTTTGTCCGGTAGTTCCGGAAAATCTGTGCTATAATCAAGAACACTAACACCCGTTTCGGAATGATTTATCCCACTTGCCCCTGCACTACCACCATTCTGCAACGCTGTATGATAACGTTCAGCACCTGGCGCCAGATTTAGTGACCCTAAAAATTTTAAATCGGACTGAACACTACAATATAGGAATTAGCGACATTCTCAAGCAATAAATTAGAATATCCGAGAATTTAATAGACTACAATAGTTCGGAGTATTCGCACTAACCCTCTCTAGATACGCAAATTGGGGTTTTCCAACAGCATTCTCCATCTTACAACTCTCTCTCTCTCTTTCTCCATTGAACTAAATTCTCCATTGAACTAAGTAACTAAATTATAGTTCTACATTAGTGCCTATCTCTTCTTCCACAACCAATTCTGTCACATAAACCGAGACTTTTTAAGGGTTTTTATGAATATCACCAATGATCAACGTCAATCAGCGACCGATTATCATAAAAAATGTGCGATAACATAAACTATTCACTTCATCATTTTTATTTCTCATAATCTATCATGAATGTAACAGCATTAATTTCCGATAAATTTGGTTTGATTACAGAGTGATTGCTAACAATTCCATCATAAATAATATTAAATAATTTCAGAATAAATTGAAACTTAAAATAATACAAATAAAAAAAGCCTGGTAAATAAGAATGGAACAGAATACCAAAAATGCAAAGGATAAAGAGAACTATAAAACATTTAAAAAAAAAATTGATTAATAAAACAAGCACCAACCTTCGTTCGCTATATCGGATGGTTCAACAGATTTCTTCTCATAATTTACAATCTTTTCCATGTTTCATACAAAAAATTTTCACTGTATAGTTCCGGCTCGTTATTCAACAGTGATCGGCTCGCGTGTTCCGCTGGGCTAGTTCGGGCTTCGTTTTTCAGTACTACAATGTTATAGATATCGATCTGATTAATTTATTATTCTTGTAATCATAATAAGAGTGAATAAGTACAACAAATTTTCACATAGCTGTGGGATCATGATCAATTTAGTATTGAGAAACAAAATACAATAAGAATTCTTTTTTTGTATACTCCATTATTAATACTGCAAATCCTTCTATTAGACGCATTTAGAATGGATAATTAGATTTATTAACTTCAGCAGGGTCTATTCCTTTAAAAAGATGCACTCTTGAGCTAAGTATCTTAGTTATTGGATTCATAATAAAGTAAAAATGTTTAAGCTGCAAAATATAATATTATAACATTTTCTTTTAATCGAATTTAACATTGATACCAACTTATTTTCTTCGATGGAAATATAAGCCTGAGAAATACAGATTGTCCAACGACAGCTACAAAACTTGAAAATTCAGGAAATTTGCCAAATTAAGATTTTTGTTAATTTACCTAAAAAAGTGCATCTCAAGAATGGTAACTGAAAACCTATGTGAAAATCACAGCTAACAATTAAGTATAATCTCTTGCAATCTCTACAGCTTCTGAATTATAACACATAAAAGTGCTACTCTGCTTAGTGCAGCTAATTAGTCCTGTATATAACAGAGATGATTTTTCGAAGTGGGAATGTAAAAAAAGCGCATAGAAAACATCAATTGTTAGATATTTGCAAGATAAAATTTTCAAAGAGAAAAACAGATATAATTCAGCATGGAAATCTCATCCAGATAGTATTCTGGAAAATCCTGATCTTCCATGAATTTTTATCATTTCATACGACATAAATCTTTCAAAAATCTTAACAAATTCAAAGAAAATAAACCTACCAAACTGCTTAAGGAAGGCCTTTGAGCAGCACCTGATTAGAAGATGCAACCCAAAATTGTAAATGTATTGCTTTTACCTGTAAATTATTCGATAGGCCAGACTACATTTATATCTACATCAGAGAAAAATCATGATCGATAAGTCTACTTTATAATGGTTGCAGTGGAATGATTATTCATACGGGAACAGACTACTGAGAAGAAACAAAATGGAAAAATTCCACTTGTCTAAATAATCAATACTAAGAAATATAAATTCCATTAGTAATATAGCCTTTATTTAATTTTTCCCTAAAATACTTACAGTGTAACTCCACAATCATACCGTTCTGCTCTATCCACCAGTTATTTGGAACATTTTCTTTTTGGATAGCTCTATTTTCTCAGAAAATGGATCATCTCTTGAGAGAATGCATAAAAAAGAAAAAACATAAATCATATCCCTTTGCTAAAATCAGACGGTTCATCTCTTTAACATCCTGTAAAAGCCACCAAACCAGACTTCCGGAAAACACTATTTGCGCGGCAAAGTAATGGCAAAAAATTAACGCGGCCAATTTGGTGACGTTCACATTGCGTTTTTTGGGTGAATTTGACAATACTTACGTCTCTCCGATGACACGAAGTGATACTGTCCTGTTGAATGTTAGTAATGAAAGGATGCGAGAATTGCTAAAAATGCTCGATATCTTAGGAGAGATAAGAATCGAAATAATTAATGACAGCTATAGGAATATTAAATGGTAGGATGATTTTGCCTTCTCAATTTTTACATTAAAACTGGTGCTTGAATTAACATTTTATACTTTATTTTTAGAAGTAACTCTTCATTTCTATGTTTATGTTTCATTTTAAGTTATAGCAAAGGAAGAGATATTAAACAGCCAAAGGAAGAGGTATTGAACAGTTAAAGGAAGAGATATTGAACAGTCAAAGAAAAGAGGTATTGAAAAATGGATGTATGGTTGGCCAAAAAACGGTCAACATATGAATGTTACGAAACTACCAACATACATTCACGACAATTTTCTACGTTTCTTCAAGAAAAAAACGATTAAATGGAAAAAAGAATTGCCTAACTCAACAAAAGCAAATATTAGCAGAACAGACGACGTATAATAATGATAAGGAATGATGATTAATTGTAGATGTTAACGCGGATTGCAATAGATGATGATGTGTCATGAGCCGATGACACTTTTCCATCATTGATTATTGCAGAATGATCTCCGAAATATATATATAACACAGCGAGCGAATGTTTAATTAAATTCTGAGCACTTCTACGATTTTATCTGCAAATTTGTGCTACCCTACCAATTTTTACATTGTCATATGGATTGATTGATTCAACGATGAACAAGTCATTCAATCAGAGTTGATCACTTCACTGCCGTCATTTTTCATTATCGTTATCAACTATGATGATACTATCATTATTATCTACTTCCTCTTATCATCCTTTGTGAATGTTGTTAAATAGATGAAAAAATAATGATCAGTACAACTGGCAATCTAATCAGGTAACTATGATTAGTGATGGACTGATATTATCAATATCTCTTTCAGATCTATCGAATGTACGGAACTGGAATTTCCAGTAAAGCGACATTTGCTGAAATAATGCTTCTGTCTGTTTGTAGAACCTATCCGATATTTTTGGTTTGAGATAATTCGAATTTGTACAGAGAATCTAAGAGTTGGTGACGAATTTTTTCAAGACATATGTGAATCCATCCATAGTTGTTTTGTTAAAATCAAAAACCTGAATGTAACATCTTACATATCATCCTGATTTTCATCTTCTTAAATAACCGTCATTTCTTTATTTATCATCCATTTCATTTGAAATGTTAAATACTGATCCCTTTTGATATTTTCCACTTGTCTCTTTTTTAATACAAGAAATCCTTTGATTTCGTACAATTGTAATATAGACGATGGATATTTCGATGAGAATTATTTTGATGCTTTGACAAGTTTTTTGTTCGTTTGAAGTTATGATGAAGATACTACTTTTAATATGAGTAAATAAATGTTTGCTTTTAATTTGTTCGCTACTTTCCCTAATTTGGCATTTTGCACATTTAAGGAAAGTAGGCAATACATCCTAGCTATGTTTTTCTACTTACTCATCTGAATAATAAAATATTCCTATATAACACAACTTGAAGTTTTAATCAACATAACTGGTTTAATCATCTATTCAAGAGTACTACAAATATACGAAACGAATTATCGCTGTAAACAAACTATAAAATCTGTACGACAGTGTATCAAGCTAACCTTACGTTTTCATTCAATTGCATACAATAAGATTCATGTGTCTCTCCATAGACACGGAAGACATAGATTAACGTTACATATGTTTGCCTTGTTTATTATAACAATAGTAACGATCATATATAGTCATTGTAATTATTTGCAGTACAAGCACCAAAACTTTTCTGTATTGTGTATGGAATGTATGAGGAAAAGAGACAGGAAGTAGTGGAAGAGTACAGAATGAATTTATTTCAATAGTCTCGATCATAAATTAGCATTATCTCAATAACCAAATAACCAGTTGCAATGTTGCCTTTATAACATCATGATAATAATACCGTAATAACAATAACGTAATAATAACGCTCACAAGTACTGTAATATTATTAATAATTCTATCGATGCCGTATTTAACTTCATGGCTGCGTTAAATTTTATCACCAATTTTGAAAAGTTCCAATTTACTGAATGAGTTAACGTGTGATGGAGGTGCGGAACATTAATACAAAACATATGGGATTTACACTTATTTGAGTTCTCTTGTTATTTCTTGAAAATAAAATCCCTTATTGTGTTCGAATTTGTGTTCCATTGTTTTTCGATCTTTTATCTCTGTTTTCTGATGTTGTCTCATGGGAAAAAAAAGTGCCTTATTTAAAGTTTGTATACTACGACTTTAGTCGGAAAATAAACGTTAAGAAGACGAGAAAGCATCAGTTGTATGATGTTGTAAATCTATCGTACAATGCTTTTTATTTCACTAGATAATCATTACGATATCTTTGACAGTAGTAACATTATGCCAAAACTGTCACGCTAGAGTAGGTACATAGCTTCTTTTTTTAGATTTGGTGATGCAATCAAACGTGAACAATACGTTGGCAGCATTTCGAAGTGATATCGATGTACAACATTCATTATTTTCGGCTTTATTATCTATAATATTAATCAGTATGGGATTTATGTTTCGGACTGAGCAATGGAAACTTGAGTATGTAGCATTCTTGCTATCGATTCCAACGGCAGTGTTGTTGTGCGGTTGGCGTGCACGATGGAACGCAGCACAAGCATCTTTCCTTGGTGGTATATTTACCTTGTCTCTACTATGCTCTTATTCAACAAATAATTCGTATTTATCAATATTCGCGTGGTATTTTGCATGCGTGGCGGCATTTCACTACGGAGAATTTCTGATGACAGCGTTAACAAACAGGTCAGATTTGAGTTCGACATCATATCTTCTGGATCATTCATTCGCATATTGGGCAGCTGCTGTAATAAGTTGGGTGGAATATGCCATGGAAGTACGTTTCTTACCGCTTTTAAAAAATATTACTGTAAGTTACGTCGGATTAGTACTAATTATATTCGGTGAAATTTTGCGAAAACTTGCAATGGTTCATGCAAACGGTGGGTTTACGCATATGATTGCAATCGAAAAGCGTCCAAGGCATAAATTGGTCACTAGTGGTGTGTATAGTTTCGTACGGCATCCAGGATATCTTGGATGGCTACTCTGGTGCTTAGGTACCCAAATGTTGCTTTGCAATCCCATGTGTGTAATTCTTTATTTGCTAATTGGATGGGATTTCTTCAACAAAAGAATATATTGGGAAGAGCGTTATCTGGTCTCTTTCTTTGGTTCAGAATATATTCAATATCGAAAGAACGTTCCACTTGGGATACCTTTTATTAAAGGATACGAATAATGACCATCGAGATAGTTTTTGGTGGTATGATGTTTTTATAGTTTTTCCTCAATTTCACGTCATGAAATTAACGTCTGTGAAAACTTAAACTGACAGCAATGCATGCAGTTGAATATTAGAATGTCACACCGTATTATGTTTGAAACTTACTGTTCTCTGTATTTCTACAATATACACGTCTTTGAAAGTCACGAACAGATGAGATCTGCAGGCGGGATTTTCGAGAGATAATTGAAATTACTTTAATTACAATTCTTTCTTTAAGAACCAATGTAAATAAGTTTGTTAACACAAGGTATAAAAAGAAGAAAGTTTTGGTAGACTTTTTTCTATAAGAAATTTACAACTTTTCACTGCAAGTAACAGGCTACTGCAGCTGGCTACTGTTTCAAAACCTTTCAGATGTTGCTTGTTGAAAATTTTCTACTATTTGTTATTTATATAGCATTTTCGTATTTATTTCGTTTTAAAGTTTTTACTTGCATCTGAGATTGTGTCATTTAGAGTAGTTTTTGCAATCGATCAATTTCAATATTAAACATCTGGCCATAGATCAATGTAGAACTGTATAGCAATAATTGATGAAATAGACTTAAAGGAGCGAACTAACAAATGACTTTATGTAATCTTTATTCACACCGGTGAATACATTTTGATAACTAATGTTTTGTTGCTTAGTGCCAGGAGAGTATCATATGTAAAGTTTTTGCATCATCATTTTATTGTACATTCCTAAATCATAATACTGCATATTATTTTTGTGCCATACAACAATTAACGGTCATGATTTTCGACAGTCTTATGCCGTACGTTCATCGGTTCAAGAATTAATTTCTAATAATATATTTATTAATATATTTTAGTTTAGCTTTTTTAAATTCTGCTATTGCTTTCTAGCATAAATTTGTGTTAGATTTGAAGAATTAAATTCGATTTGGAAAATTTTATTTGTTTAATTATTATGACAATTATTACAAAAATTAGCAAATATCTTATTCATATGATTTTCTGAGCTTAATTTTTTAATTCTGTTGAAATATTTGTAATATTTTCAGGAAATTTGTTTTAAAATTTTCACCAAATGTTGTAATAGACCTTCCTGTTGTTCAAAGACTCGTATTTTATGTACTATGCTTTAAAAATATATGAATTAGTCACGGCGCGCGTAGACGTCCTGTTATAAGCTCAATTTGTTATAATCTTGTTATTGCGCAATAAAATTTCAAGATGAGCAAGCGGAATCTATCAGTCGACTATGAAGATCTAGATTCAGAATTTGATTTTGCAAATGATGCTGGAAGCAGTGTTAATGGAGGAAAAAGTTGTCGAATACGGGATGATGAATTATGGAAGAAACCACGATTTGGAGAAATTGTATTGCCAGATCGAAAAAAAACAAAAGACGTATTTGATAAAGAACAGTCCTATTTTGAGAGGTACTGTTTAGTGTTCAGACTTTTTGCTAAGGAAGAGATGAGGAAAATAAAGCGGGAACGATTGAATGACAAGACATTATATCTTCTTTTCTAAAAGTAATCTATGAAGATATAATTACGTAATGTTGACACTTTTTCAGACGAAAACAACGTTTAATGACACTAGACGTTTATTCTCGGCACAAAGAACTCATAAATCAATATTATCTCTGTTATCCAGGTGCAACAACAAGACTGCAGAGAGATACATCCAGAGATCGTACTGATTACGATGTCCTCAAAGATAATCACAGATTTCTTTGGAATGATGATGAGGTTTCACTTGCATTGCGTAAAATTCATTTACTTGCAGAAAAAATGTAGGTACGACAAGCAATTAATTATTGGTATAGCATTTAACGAATATACTCCTTATCATATCATTTTGTGTCTTAGTAAATCCATTTCATCTTTTTCAGTTAATAAAAGCGGCAGAGAAGTCATGGGAAGCCCGTTTAGCTAAACGATATTATGATAAACTTTTCAAGGAATATTGTATTGCTGATCTTTCGCAATACAGAAAGAATAGGTAACCATGTTTAGGATATATTTCATGTCATAAAAATTTTGAGAAGAGTTTTAACATGTTTTTATGAATACTATTTGCTTTGTGAGGAAAAAACCAGGGTTGTGTTTCAAACTTATAGATAATTTGGAAATTTCAGAATAGCCATGAGGTGGCGAATTGAAAGAGAAGTCAGGTCAGGAAAGGGCCAATTTGAATGTGGTAATAAAAGATGCACAGAAAAAGACTGCCTTACTAGTTGGGAGGTAAATCTTTTTCAATCAAGTTTGAATTTCAACTGATATCTTTTTGTCTTTTGGCAATATCTATGAAATTTTTATTATGGTTGATACACATTAAGCTGCATGTCTTCAAGTGAAAAATCCCAGTACTCTTTGGATTTGAGGTGTCTTCACTAAAAGATAAAGGACTTGAATGAACCGCTTCATTTCCGGTTAACTTTGCATACTTGGAGAATGGCATAAAGAGAAATGCTCTTGTCAAGTTACGACTATGTCCCGAATGCTCGAAAATGCTTAATTATCACTCGCAGAAAAAGAAACTTGAAAAGAAAGACAAACGCAGAAGCACAAACAGAAGCAGATTGTAAGTTTTTCAGAATTCCCATAACTGAACATGCGTCATAGCATAACATCTGAAACAATATACTCTATATAATTAATGATACAGTTTCTTAAAATTCTAAATATTTTCTTACAGTTCAGTTTGTTTTAATCACTTGTTTAACACTGATTTCATGGACGACAGCTATTATTCAGATCTAATGTTGAAAGCCGAAACGAAGAACTTTGCGAAGCAAACACTTCAGAGATTCAGAAGTCTTCAATTTCTAAAGAGATGTCCGAAGAAGTGGAGCAGAATACTGCTGAAAAATTGGAAAAAGATAATTTAATGGAAATCTGGAGGAAATCACCGGAAGTCAATGATCCGGAAAGAGTTGCTGAGCAAGAGCTTGATGATTTCTTGGATGACTTATTACTGTAGTTGCGTAAATCCGTATATATATATATGTTCAATAGTTTTTTTATTCGGTAAGCAATGAAAAACAAAGAAACCAACAACTAATATAACATTGTTATATAACTAGCGATAATTAAACTGTATTTTAATTTGAAATGATGTTTTAAATAGATCCGGTCATTTTTAAAGGCTCACGTTATAGTATTTTATAAGCAAATCTAGTCGAATTTTGACTTATGATGGAAGTTTCGAAAGATACAATTAAATCTCTAATACTTACCACTGCACATCTTACCGTCATATTTATTACTGTTAAATTGAAATATAGACCACTTGCTGCTTCTTATTTCCTTTCCCCAACTTCCTTGTTTCTCTAAATCCGAAATGTTTCCTGCGAATGTGGTAATTCAAATTGAATATAATCGCTGTGCAATCATTGTGGAGCATAATTTCATGGACCATTAGAGTTTGCCAATACTTCTAGGAAAACTTAAAATAAGCTTAAAGATTTAAGAATTCTCGTACTGGAAAAGCTGCCATTAGATATTTGTTGATTGAATGGACAGATCGATGAGCTAGTAAACATTTTAGCGAATTAAACTTCATTTAACTTACCCCTTCTAATGAATCATATTACAAGAAAGTGGTTTTGTACTATATATTATTTCTATTACTTATATATTATTATTATTTATTATATATTATTATTTTTTATATTATATGTTATTTTTATATTTTATGATGGAACGAATATTTCAAAAATTCAGTCGTTTTTGGAATGTATTTCCATTTTGATTTCTTTTATATTCCATCAAGTCAGTATATTAAAAACTACTGAAAGGTGTATTTCATACTTCAAAAACTATCAAAAAACAAGAATAATTTATAATTTTATTGTCCGCAAAATAATCTAATCTTTATCATCAGACCAATTTAATGATTTGTTTTTTGCTTTGTTAATTAATTTTTCATACTTTCCTGCTCCTTTTTTGACTTCAATAGAATGAGAACGAAACCAGAAGTTTAAAATATAATCGAAAAAAGATTAGAAAATGCGAAACAAAACAAAATATAATAATGCTATAGGTAGGATACCATTTGTAGAATGTTGTGGAGAGTAGCATAAAATGAATATAGAAGTGAATATCGGAGAGAATTTTCGCGCTCCATATTAAATAGAAAAGAACTAATTCCTATTAATGAAATAATGTTAGAATGAAAATGCAAACAGAAACCATTTAATCATTAATAGTTTCAGTGCACCAAATATGGTTTTCTGCTGTAATTATTTTGGTTTATCTCATCCCCTTTGCTAACATTATACAGGAAATTTAATTTGTACAAGAAATAAATCAATAGTATTTATAATTAATAAAATTTATACCAACGTGTAAATTTTGGTATATGTGACATTAAATTCATATAGAAAAGAACGAATTCTATGCTAAGGATTTGTGCATTCAAGAATAAATTGCAAATTAAGGTTGCAATTTTGACATTCAGTATAAAACAATTTAGCATACAGTACCCAACTTAATTAATTTAATATGGTCAGAAAAAAGTCTAAGACTGCTGAAACAGTCCTTTCCTCGCACAACATTTTGTATGTCATACATTATTATAAGGAAAACAATTTATTTAATTTTTTATTCTTGTAAGAGTAAAGTATATGCTCATAAAATTATTGTGAGGTCGCCGTACTACTTTTGAACACCCATTTGCAAATCAGAATATGGGATCGTGATTGCAGCATCAGAATTCTGTAAACCATCGGCAAAAAATTGCCATATCAGGACTGATCCTACATCTGTATTCTTATCCTGAAATAAGCTGAATCTGATAAAATATTTTCACAAAATATGAAAGATGTTCAGATTTGTAGCTGATATCTTCAGTTTATAATTATTAAACTGTTTTTGCTTGCAGTAAGATTTAATGGATTCATATCTCAATGAAGTTCCATTATCTCAAAAAGAAAATATCACACTGAGTTAATATTGAAAAAAGCGATTACTCCGTTCAAATCTTATTCCGAGTTTGCGACTGAATTAATTGACTATAAAAGGCAGCTTGGTTTTGAGTTCGATCTTTCGACTTCGCAACCACTTCCTTGAGTTCCGCGAATAATTTACTTTTTGCTTCATCTAATTCAGTCTTTCTCGCATTCAGACATTGAATCTAAAATTCATAATAACAATCGATAGCTCCATTTATATATACTCAAATTTTTAATATCGATCATTCTATTAAAATCTTAATCAGTCCGACAGGTGCTAAAAAATTTTTAATGATACTTGCAATACTTCGGAAAAATTCAAATAGAATTTACCGTTTCAATCCACGTCTTTCACTAGATGGTGAATACTATTGAAAAGATGATAGTGGCTAAATTACTTGAAAATGAAAAAAATGAAATCGGTAGTTTACTTTTTTTTCACATTGGCCTATCTCTTCTTTGTACCAAGCATGTTTCTCTTCCTCATTTTTACGTTCTTCAGCACGCGCGGCACGCTCCGCGCGATCTGCAACAACCGCAGATAAGCAAAGATTAGACTTTACAAAAATGACGGCTTATAAATTATAGTTTCAGGCTAGAAATGATGAAGACGGAAGTATTCACATGTTGAAAACAACCAATTAATGAGCTAAACTGATGTACTTGGAGTAATAAACTAGCTTATCCAACATTTCAGCTAATTATAATTTATGATCGAATCCATGACATGAAAAGACTTTTTTGAAGCACATAGCGATTGGTACTGCGCTTAGCAGACAATTTATTAATAAAATTAAAAGTAACAGTCATCAAGAAGAAAAAGAGTACTGGTCATTTCGTCTTCCCTGTCCTGATTACTTATCGCTGACGTAAAACAAATAAACAAATGAATCAAATAGATAATAAAATTAATGAAATGGACAGTTTAAAAATTTTATTAATTCAAAGCACGAAACCTCTTTCCTCTTCTTTGCGTCGTGTCATAATCTGATCTAGTATTTTTCGGCGTACCGCATCTGTGGGTGGTAACAATGGTTTCCAACCAACGGGTAATGTCTTTCCTATTCCACGTCTTCGTGATAAGAATTCGGCGATACGATTATCAGTAACCGATGAAGTTGTTGTTGCTGCTACTGATACGGTTGTTATTGTTGTTATGTTGTCAGGCATTCATAAAATGGAAAATCTATATATGAAACATGAAATTTGAAAAAAAAAATGTAGAACTATATATATATATATATATATGCATTATAATTTAAACATCTAAACGTATCACAAATTAATAATTAAAACCTTTTTAAAGAAGGTTTAAAATATTTTGAATTGTTATAATATTTAAAAAAGTATATAATATTTCTTACGTGTTTCACTTAGCTCTTCCTTCTCATGCACTTCATTTTTCTTACTCATCTAAAGATTTGCTAATAAATTTACAGAAGTAAGCAAGCGTAATGGGAAACAAAAGTAAAAGCAGCATATAATTAAACGAAGAAGTATTAAACAACAGAGGGAATCAGCAATAAGTGGATTTACATTTGAGACGACTAGAAATTTTAACTCAATTTAAAAATTTAAATTAAGCATCATACCAACTCATCATATACGAGTAACACTGCCATTTAATTCCAAATCCATTAGCAAATGATATGAAAACTCCGGAAAAACCCTTCGATGTGAGTCCGGAAGAACCCTGAAGAAAAGTAGAAGAGGAAAAAGACGGCGCGGGTTGCGGCCGCCTTTTCTGTGGTTGAAAAGATAGCGAAGTAAGATGCCCTGTGAAGTAGGTGGTTGTAGGTGACGATTAGTGTTAAGAGAGTGGATAATAATTCAGGATGTTCATGTAGGAGCAAATCAAAAATTCAGAAGTCTCTATATGACCGTCACACATGACCGGAAATTGAAGTTCTCCTGAAATACAGGCTCTTGCAGGATACGTGCAAAACGTCGACTGTGTTATATTCCCAAATTGATGCGCTTGTCGAGAAAGACCATAAAATTGTTCAAACATTTCCAACGACTGCTGCTTGAATCATTTCAAAAAGGTAATACTATCCCTTTTCTTTCGAACTTTTTATGTCAGTTAATTGGTAAATTCACTACTAAGTTCTTCCTGTAAGAATTTAAAATTGCAGAATTCGTTTTTCAAAAAACATCCAGAAAATGTTTACAGAATATAATTATCATATGTTAAATCATAACCATATATAATGTTCATATGTTATAACGTAACCATATATAGTATTCATATGTTAAATCATAACCATAACTTGAGATAGCGATAATCGAATGAAAGCTGAATCCACAAATTATAAAACGAATAGAACTGAATATTTAAATTGATTAGAATGAGAAACTAAAGTTTGCAAAAGCAAATGGAAATAATATAACTTACAGATAATTTGTCGGTCATCCTACCGATGAACTTTCCATTGTTTGTTCCGACATATGAAATTGATGGTCGCATTTATAGACGTAATATTCAAAGGACACTGAGGTTGGAAAAAACCATCGACTTTACGAGTTTTAAATGTGTATTTCGACATTTACTAGCACAAATATTTACATATTTAATTAATTTAGAATTGTGTCACTATTATTTGAAAGAATATATAATTAGCAAAGTAGATAGAGGTTCGATATATCGTTAGGTTCGATATATCAGTTTATTTCAAATGAAAAGTGCAGCTTGTATGGAACTAGTGTGGCAGATCTGGAGTTTGTAAGATGATTTGAAGAGTTAAGTATAGAAAGGCCATAACCGAGTTTGAGGCATTCAACATACTTACCACATTGAGCCTAAAGATTTGTCGAGATTCGGCATACTTCAAAAAATGCAGAACAGCCTAACGATGGAAGGATAAATTAGTTCTGCTCTCCCATTTTAACGGCTTGGAGAATCTTATATTTGAATTTTTATTTACCATACAAGGCAAGAAGAAAAGAAGATAACGCTTATCATATCCATTCCAGTTATTCCACTCATTTCTTGTGTATATCGATTTAGTTTACTTTTAGTCCTTTAGTTTGTTAACTTATCGAATTTCCTGAACTAAGCAGTTATTAAATATTTCATTCGCATAATTTTTTTTAGTGATTTTCAGGATTTCAATATATTAAATTATTGTGTTTTATACATGAATATTTCTCTAAAATTAGTTTGTTTGTTGCATGACAAAATTTGCCGTTGTTTTTTATAGAAATGAATATGAGGTAAATTTTGGAACCAGTGATACAGCCGATTTATACGGTGAAAGCGATTCTTGTAATTCAGCTGGTTTGACTTTGATTTTCTTTCTGGCTTTGACTTTCTGCACAACATTTGACCTTCTTTCTCTTAAATAATACGTGCATTGTTGAAATTATAATAGAGAAATGACGAAGAGACTAAAATGGTCATTTCAGTAAGCGGAAGTTAAAGGTCATATTAATGATGAAATATGATTATTCTAATCCAGCAGCAAAACTAACACCATTAATGTGCTTCATGTTATCATTCGATGTTATTATTTATTAGACGAAATAGGATATTGCAAAGTATTTTCTATTCCAGCTAGATATTGGATTCTGTCGCTTGAATTCGTCGAACGGCGTTTTTTGAATTAAAGCAGATATGAAGAAATATTTCAGTGGATACGTTGGACAGCTCTGATGAAACAATGACTAGTGAATCGAGCAATCTCTTAACAACAGATGCGGCTGATGAGACAGATGAAGATCAGTTAAAGCGAGGCGAAGAATTTGTTGTAAATTACAATAAAAACACAAAGAAATGGACAGCGAAGTAATTTTTGCTGCTGTTGTTAATTGTTCTTTTCTGAAGCAAAACATGTTATTAGCTCTTTATTTTTAAAAAATTTTTATTTTCAAAAAATCCTGTAAATAATTAAGAAATATTCATGCTGCTTACTTCATGTAGGCAGCAAAGATATCAAGCTATGAATAAGGATGACTGAAGTAATTTGAATTGAAGTCACTTTCTTAGTATGCTGAGAACACCCGACAATATTCCTAGTATTTTGATCTGCTTATTTCGAATTTTATATCATCTGCTTACTTTTAATTTTATATCCTGTACTATGATTTGAATTTAAATTCATGATTTTAAATTATTGCATTTGATATTATGTTTTAATGATTAAGAAATTTAATTTGTTTAAGAATTAAAATTCCTGTCCCCTTATGGCATTTTGTAATCGGACCAAAAGGATCTATGAAAAGGAAAATTGAAGAAGAAACGAGCTGCAGGTTAAATTTTCCGGTGAAGAAGAAAAAGAGACGTCCTGTAGGTATGTAACTTCTTTAATTCTTTTAATTATTTCAGTTTTTATGCCAGTGTTACCTTTCTTTCTCTTTCATGCACTTATAGTTTTCTATTTTCTATGTTATTGCGAAAATCAGGTCATCATTGATGGAACATGACGCAAGATTTTGGATGTTAAATGTATTGTTTACTTTTCTAAATATTGCCTTGATACAGACAATAAGCTGAAACCTCATATATATTCCTCTTCTCTTTAGCTCAAATTTTAGCTCAAACAAGTGTATTGCTTGATTGTGTTTATATCTACATAATATTCAAAGCAATTATTCCCTTGTTTGTGTGAAATATTTTATACAGCCTTTTTTTAATCTATTATTTTATAGAAATCGTGTCAATGACATCAGAGGAAAGTGTGATGCGTTGCCGTGATCGAATCCAACTAATAATCCATGAAGCACGTGGTAGAGCCTCATACACGCATTTTGTTTCAATTCCTATGACGCATGAGATTATTAAAGACAGTTTTCTCAAATTTGTGAACACAATTAAAAATGATGAGGAATTACCGGTAAACACCTTGTTTTCATCTTTTTCAACAAAATTCTTTTTCTGCTTCTTAGTGATTCTAAATGCTCTGAAAATTTTGCGAGAAATATAAATATCTATACAGCTTATGTGGCCAGTGTTTGGAAAAGTTTATAATTTATTATATGCATTCCCTTCTAGATTCTTCATCTGTTTTCCTTGCAGGATTCTTGTAGAGAAGAAACGGTTTTTCAAGAATCAAGAAAATTACATCTGACAATAACAATGCTATCATTGTTGGACACTAATGAAGAAAAGTCCGTATCGAATTCGCTAGAAACAGTAATCAATACACACGTAAGGTATATATCATTTTAATTTACTTTATTTTTTTTTCTATGTTCTACCAATGCTGTCGGTTACCATTTGATATGTACTGAATTGTTTAGCATTGCTCTACTTTAACTGCAGATTTTTTCTTACCTTTATTAATAATTAAGGCTCTTAGGAAACACTTATCTTCCGAAAAAGTAGAATCCGTTGAAACCAAACATTTGTATAAATAATAGTATATGGGTGTGGTAAAATGTCTAAGATGTCTTTCATTTAAACGAACATTCTCATAAAAAAACTGGAACCACCAGTTAAGTAACTCAATTAATTATAGTTAACTAGTTCGGCATTTAATCAGTCCATAGATTTGGTCATCCATTCACATATGTAAAGTTGGTTGTTAATTTAGCACAACGTGATATTTCGCATTGATTTTAATGAATAAATATTTAAGAGAAGTCTTGAGTGGTGAACCATTGGAAGTAGAAGTTAAAGGATTAGAAATAATGAACGACGATCCGACCCGTGTTAACGTACTGTATGCACTGATCTCTTCAGATAAGTTCGTTTTTTTTTTTTTAATTTTCCAAATTTTAGTTTTTATTTGAATTGGTTCTTCTTGACATTTTTATTAAATTCATCGCAAAAACTTTACTTCTTTTCAGATTGGTCAATATCGCAAATACAATAGCAGAAGCTATGAGCGATACAGGTTATGCTCCACAGCAGAATTCAGTAAAGTTACATCTGACCTTAATGAATACCAGATATTTGGTTAGTACTTCCAGATGTGAAAAAATTTTTTATTTGTTTTCATGATCTAACAACATTTTGTCAAAAATCACAGTAATTTTACAGTGGGAGAAAAAGAAAAAGAGAGAAAAAATGGACGTGACGAAGTTATTGGAGAAATATAGAAATTATGACTTTGGGAAAGTCACAATAGCTGAAGTAAGTTGATGTATTTCTGAAAAACGAATGATAATTGAAAGATATTAAATTTGTAACAGTTTATAACAGGAAGAAAACAGCCTTACACATATCTTGTCCTCCGACAATTAATCCTCACCACGCATTCTTATATTCCCGCGTATTAAGAAATAGACATAAAATTTATAAAGCCTCCCAAAAGCTCTTTAATTATGTATGTAAATTACATACAATCCTGAGTTAAGAAGATTAATTCAAGTCATGGAACGATAAAAGTTGTGCTTAAAATATCATATTTTAAACACGATATACTACTTTAAGCTTCCCAGCGGATAACGATAGATTTTATCTGTATATATTTATCTGTATATGTTTGCCATGATGAGTTTACTTGGCAAATCTCGATGTCACTCCTCAACTTTGATTTGCAATATTAAACGTAGAAATGGTTACATATTTATGTATTTTGTTTTCTAGGTCCATATATCGAATTTAAAAGGACCAGCAGATGAACATGGATATTATTCTTCGATTGGAACCTTTGAATTGAACAGGATAAAGCATGATATATAGGATGTAACGCTGTCTTAAAAATTTTAATCAATATGCTAAGACCATTCCATTGAGATGTTCTCTCCAACTTATATATTTAGTTTACCAAATTTAATCAAAACTGATATTATCATTTTCCAAAAAGTAGAACGCCATTTATAAACATAGTGTATACTGAGAGATTTTTATGCAGAATAAGTGCGTGATAAGATAGCTGAAATAGTTTAACAAGGATAAGCGTTACAAAAATTGGTTCTGCTAAGTATATGAATTCCTTTTTCGACAAATTTAGGCTTTCATTTAAAATAACTTCTTTTTTTGAACCTCTGTGATTCTCTCCTAGCCATAAAAGCTCCTGAAAGGGATGATTTAAAAAGCAAAAACTTAATTGATATTGCAGATGTTTCTCTAGCAAAATGGAATCCCATTTATCCATGACCGTATTTAATTTTTGCAAAAGAAATGGCATCATTTAAATTGCATGGAATACTTTTAATTGTTGTTTAACTCATCTTTCTTTCCTTCTCCTCCGATAAAAGTTTCCCAACATTTTCCTCAGTTGAATTTTAAGAAATCTTCTAATGTTAAATAACACTTTCCTCTTTTTGCTGAAGTAAAAGTGCCACTTTCTTCAAATAAGTTGTTTTCATCTTTTTGGATTTTATAACCTTTTCCGTCACTGAATTCTAATACCGTAATTCTGTCATTAGAATTCATTTTTGAAATGCTTATATCACTGAAATAAAGCGCTATAAAAAAATTTCTACGAATACAAACTAGACGTAATCGAGGAATATTACGGAATACCAAGTGTTGCAGTTTATTTTGCTGTTTTCATAGTCAGCACACCGCAGATATCTTGGGAATAACTGTTCCACTCCGTCCGCTCTCTCCTTCCCTCCGTACCCATGGATTCCGAATGATTCACTTCAATAAATGACGTATAAATCTCAGAAAATGTCATTCATCATGATTGTCTAAGTTGATTAATTTCGCTTCTATTCCTATCCCTTTGTATTGATTGGTTCTGAATTCGAAAAAAAATTGTTAGTGCAAACTTTGTCACAGTATAACTGAAATTTAAAAACTGAAAAAGAAATTCTTATAAATCTTTATAAAGCAGTAGAATTTAGCATCACAAATAAATCTTGTAACGAGTGTCTGTTAATCGCGTAACACGAAGAAAGCATTTGAAACTTATTTAACGAAACAAATTTTAATCTTTCAAAGATATTTTTTAGCAGCAGAAATGGAAATAAGCAAAGAAGACATCTCAACGATAAATTAATTAATTGTCCACCAAACTGGCTCATTAGGAATCATTTTTTCAGTTTTGCCAAATTTATTTTTTGAGCATAAAATAATTTGTGAATCTGTCGCTACAGAGAAGGGAAAATTTGAGTAACAAAAAGATATAATAAAAAGGAGCAATGTAGAAGAAAAGAAAATACAGCCTTTAATCTAAATATATGGAATAGTAAAACACTTTAATTACAAATGAACCATCAATTATCACCGCATATTATCAACCAGTTGTATAATAAAACAATGCATTTTTGTGAAGTAGAAGATGAAATTTAAAGAATTCAGCTATGAAGCTGATGACAATGCAAAAAAAAAATACAGAAAAGAAATTGTAAATTAGAAATTTATCCAATACCATAATGTTTCTTGAGCAAATCTTGCGTTGCTCTTCCATGCTGCTTATAAAACAGCAAGTAAGCATCATCGTTTTGAACACGTGAAAGTTGGGCACGTGTAACAATCGAGTCGTCAAAATTACGCCAATCTATAAAATGTGATGTATTGAAGAAATCTGTAAAAATCTATCAAAAATTTAATACTGAGAATGAAAAATCAAAACTTGTGCTGAGTAAACTAAAATATTTCACTACATATATATATGGAAATGAAAATAAGAAAATCACCAATTTCTGTCGTCTTTCCATCGACAGTTAACAGTCTACCTAACGATATGTAATGTCCGAAATAGCTACTTCCAGAATGACACACTACACCTGTCAAATCATATTTCGTTTCCTAGAAAGTACAAGAATTTAATTATATATTTTCATTAACATCATATGAGGTAAAACTTACTTTTCTCTCGTGCGGTAATGATATCCCTCCGTAGAAAGCAAAAGAGGAAAATCCTTCCAGTATTTAGAATGAAATTAGGAAAACAAACCAGTCTAATACGCTGACATTATTCATAAAGAGCGCAAATGTTTTTGACATTTTTAATTTAAATGTACAACCTGTCCTGGTGGAGCAGTGTCAGATAGAAATTGAGCCAAATCGAGATTATCAAGGGGATATCGAACGGGACGATCATCTTTGGAACGGCGATGTATTGTCATGAGTGATGTTGTATAAATGAAACGTTTCAACTGGATGATCAAAATAGGAGGTAAGCGGTACAGAACGAGTTGCTTAGTTGCTTCCACATGTTCTTTGCATTTACTGCAATACCTGCAATCGGAAAAAACAGTAAAACGTAGCCCACATTTATTTGTTTTACTTTTTGTAATAATAATTTAACTATATACTACCATTTTGGTTTAAACACAACAGTAAGCAGGTGGTGAAATTAGCAAATTATAAAACACACCAAGATTCCTCTGGTTTAAGACGTTCCGTTTCTGAGAACATGGCTAACATGTCGTACAACGATGGATTTGAAGCAATACTACTTGAACTTGCCATTGATGATGACATCTTCTGATAATAAGCTGTTTTTTCGACATCGATATCCTGCAGCAGAATAATTTCAATTTTAGTATGAATGTTTTATTCAAAATTTTTTCAAGTTTTTGGAATTTAACTAAAAAAATAAAAATAGGTGAGATATATGATACTAATGATAACTAATGACTTACCACATCTCTTTTCGTTTCGACTGTTAAATATTCCTTTCCACATTTCAAATTCCACCAGTTAATTGATAAGAAAGTTCCATTTGGCAAATCCAAAGCTACTGGAATATATATACAAAGTCATTCTGCATAAGTCATAAATAATGATCAATTCTGTAATCAAAATCACTTAATATAAAATTTGGTTTCTTCTGCTGCTGTGATTTAAAAATTCCTACGATTCAAAAAATTAAAAAACCGTTACTTTTTCCATAACGACCAGATTACACTAGTTTTATTTATGTAGTAAAACTAAAGCGCTATATAAACCAAAAGAACTCACAATCATACAAAAGAATTAGTAACTTTTACCAATAACTGAAAAAATTAGTAATTTTACTAGTATTATTAGAAAGTGGAAAAGATGGAGATCGTGATTAAATATTCTGCAGATCCAGAATAGCAAAATTAGAGGAGCAAATTATAAAATTGGAAAATTATCGGAAAATTTCGGAAAGGAATTACCATCAGAACGCGAGTCAACCAATGTATCACCAATGACAGAATCCGATTGCTGTAATTTACGTACTAAGAATAGTTTCGATTCCGTTCGTGATTTATTTCGCGGCTCACCAAGAACCATCTGTCTTTTGGCCGCAACAGGGGTCACTTCCATCTAGAAGGAATGGAAATAGACTTCTAGTAAGAAAGAGATGGATGTTCCAGTTTTTTTGTTAAGCATATCATCGATCTAACCCACTGATGATTTTTTCCTACAAATCCTCGGGAAAAATTTTCACTTTTCGCGGCTACAAAATATGCGACCATACCGGTAATTCACCAATATTCCCATTGATAGAAGATGCTGAAAAACATGAGCTGGAAACCATGTATGATTCACGAGAAGATTCCAACTGATCAACTACTGCATCGTTATTGTTTTCAACTGGCGGTTGAAATACATTAACTGAATGTCTAAAAAATAACGTAACGAGTAAACACGAAGGGCAGAGAAATAAGCTATCATAAGCAAATAAGAAACAGAACAGATAAATAATCCGTGATTACTGATAACTCAAATGAGGTCTATACGTTTGTGATATGTCTTCACTGAATACAGCACTTGTCACTATAGTTAAGCAAAATGTATCGGTCATTATAAGCATAAAAATATCCATAGACAAGAGAATAGGAAAAAACCTTCAATAAAACAAGAGCCACAACAAAATTTGTCATAACCTTGATTGATATAGTATATACCTCAGATCATATCAATCAAACCCATCAAATTCATTAACAAATAACTACCCCCTTACGGATGAAAAAAAAGAGAATTAACCTGCAACGACTTTCCAAATTTCGCATAATATTTGAATAAGTAGTTCGTTTTTTGGGTAATGAAATGATGAACGGTTGTCCAACAGCTTCTGTTTGAGTACGCGACCTACAGCTGGTTTTATGATCCGGCCAATCCGCCACTTGACATTCGCTGAAGAAAATAACCGGAAATCCTCTTGGATTATTTGAGAAAACAAGGTTACAAACTATTAACAACATTTTTAACCAACAGAATTATTTCCAACATTGTTGTAGTAAAGCAGACTTCATTAACAATGCCATAACATAACATTCTATGAATACAAAAAAATCAATATCTAACAATAAAATTGGGCCGTTTATAGCTTTATATTCGAATGAAAGTAAATTAAAATCAAACCGATTGCAATAGAAGGCATCGTAACAGCGCTCGCAAGTTTTCAGTTTCACATCTGTGGCCTGACAGTAAGCACATGCACGACCGATACCCTTACGATAGAGAAGACGCTGAACAACGGCGAATTCAACAATATCATCATTGCAATCATAAGGATCATGTACTTGAAAGCTGAAACAAATTGATAATTTAAAGTGTATAAATTGGTAATTTAAAAGTGTCCAAATAAAAAAGTTATCATAATTTGCTCCAATTCATCGAGCGGAGTAAATTTCAAACAGTTAATGCAAAAATTCCTGAAATAACTCCAAATATGTAATTAAACACATCCTTGAAAAATACCCTACGACTTCACTTATTCATAAGAATATCACATTTTTCAATGGTTTTTTGGTATGTGTATCTAAACAAGCATTAAAATCAATATTCTAAACAATGAAAGCAGATGAAAT